AGCAGTTGTGTGTCTGCGTGTGTCTGTAAGGTAAGAGAGGGGGGGGAAGGGAAGTGTCCTCAACGTGTAGTGGGAACGCCACTGCACCCCGTTCTCTTTCGGTGTGTTTCGCTTTACACTGGAAGCGAAGCTCACGGCAGGCCGTTGCGCATGCGCGAGGGGGGGGGGAGGGCAGAAGGAAGGAGCAGAGAAGAGAGAAGAAATCGTAGTGGACTGCGTGAGACCGAAAAGGGTTCGAGAAGAACAGCATCGTAGAGGGTACGCGTCAACGAGGACGAGTCCCACCCATCCCACCCCACCCCCTCCTTTGCTTTGGGCGGCGATGTTTGACGGATGCCCCAATACCACGCTCTGCGTGCCTTCCCATTCATCGAGGGATTCTTTTTGTAAGTGCAGCCTGACCGAGAGCCGCCGCTTGTTGGAATGATCGCCTTCGCCGTGCGGCTCACATCCTTTCTTATTTCTGCTGCTGTTGTTCGAACCGTATTAAAGACGACATAATTATGAATTAAAGATATATATATATACTAGTTTTTTGTTGTCTTCATCGGTGGTCTCAAAAGTCCGCCCCTTCGACCCCCGTTCCTTCCCTTTCCTTTCCTTTCAGTTTTTCTTCTCCCACGCGTGCCACTGACCCGCCGCGATGGACACCGTTTGCCAGAACAAAAACAAAGAAAGACAGAGGAGAAGGCCGTAATGCGCTGGCATCAAAGGAATTCTCGCGCGCACGCTTCTGGATCCACCGCAGTAAGGGAAGCGTACGAGTAAAGACATGTCTTCGTTTACTTTGTTTTGTGTTTCGCCTATTTGTAATAACCGCCTTAGCAAAAAAGCGCATGCGGACCTCGGCGATCCAGCGTTGTCTCTTCGCCGCCGCCGCCGCCGATTGGCAGCCGCGGCTTCGTGAACACATGAGAAAAACAAGGAGTGGTGTGGCCGCCCAACTTAGTGAAGGTGGCCGTGGCCGTGGCCATGATCTGCACCGTCGCCCTCCTCCTCGTCGTTACCGCAGACCCCGCAGCAGGGGCAGAAGTTGAGCCGCTGACGCTCCTTCAGCGTGTACTCATCCCACGGCTCCTCGCCGCCGTCCAGCAGGGCCTTCAGCGGCACCGGCACCGTCTCGACGGTCCCCACGCAGGCGCTGGCTTCGCCGATGGATGCGTACTCCGCCGCCTTGCGTGCGTCCAGTTCGTGGGCCGCACCGCACTCGCCGGAAGTGTCAAGACCGAGGTGATCGCCGTAGAACACCACGACGCCGGCGGGCGCCGCTGATGAGGGAGACGACGACGACGATGGCGATGGCGCCATCAGCGCACGCAGGCACGCGGTCATCGCCTCCGGTGCGCTGCCCACCATTGCAATCGGCGGAGATTGCGCGGCAGACGATTTGCTGCCCAGTTCGCCCGCCATGGCGTGGCGGACCGCGGTGATGTGCTCGCCGATAAAGTCCACCGCTTCTACAAACGCGTTTGCTATCGTCGGAGGGGCAGCCGCACCAGCCGCAGCATTTTCCGCTGCACGGGTGTACGTTGGGACAGCAGCGTAGGGCAGCCGCACGACCACCGCGCGGCATCGCAGCAGCACGCTGTTCGGCTGCATCGCGGCGAAGGCGGTGCACCATGCGATGTTCACCATGGCCTTTCCGCCTGCGACCGACACCGGCAAGTCGCGCAGGTCTAGCACCACCACCACCGCACCGCCGTCATCAGAAGCGACGGCGACTGGGTGTGCCTCCTTCTGAATCTTGGTGAAGGTCTCCTCCGGCAGCGCCGCGGCGGCGTAGTAGTGCGGGCAGACGACCACCTGATGACTACCGGTGCGGCCAGACGCGAGTTCAAAGTCGTCCGTCGTCGCCCGCAGCGACGCAAGAGGACTCAACTCCACGGTGCCGGCGGTCTCGGCGAGGCGGCGCAGCTCATCCTCCACGGTCACCGCCAGGGCCGTCGCCGCAGCACTCTCGCACGGCGCCTCCGTCCACGGCAGCAGCGGCACCTCGTCGTAGAGGATGTCATACAGGTTCCACGTCTCCTTCCACACCATGCGCGCCACCTCGCTGTCTAGAAAGCTCACCGGCGAGGCGGCATCCGCCTCCGCGGCGGCCACTCTCGCCTGCGCCTCCGTCAGCGCTGCGGCGTGGATGCCAACGGGAAAAAGCGCAAACCGAAACGGACGCATCTCGATGGTCAGCGGTACGGTGGTGGCGGCAGGGGCTGTGGACGAGGACGAAGTTCCTTCGTGGTGGGCCGCAGAAGTCGTCGCGGTCGTGGTGGTGGTGGGGGGGGGAGCGGCGATGAGGGGGTAGAAGGAGTCTGGTGGGGCAGCGGTGTGCGTGTGACGGAAGCCGCGGATGTGCATCACGGCCGCCTGCGAGTTCTCGGGGCACGCGCCCTTGCCGCGTATACGCACGAACATGACTGCCTCCTCCTGGTGATCGTCGCTTCACTCGTTGGTGTGGCGAACGCAGCTGAAAGGGGAACACGAAAAGAGAGCGAAGAGCAGCGCAGAGAGAAACGAAAACGAGCAACACGAATCGAACGCGTCGGTGTTGCTGCTTTGCCTTAAAGAAAGTATTACGAGTACTTACGAACAGTAGTAGTAGAGGTGAATTTCGTAAGCGAGCTTGATGGCGGGCGGATGTCAGGAAGAGTCGCAGCGTGGCAGCCGCTTCAGGACAGCAGAGAAAAGACAAAAAAAAAGGTATGTAAGAGGGAGGAAACAGAGGGGTAAGGATGCACCGGTAGGTAAAAACGTAAGGTTCAGAAGCAGGCTTCAACGGGAATGTATCGTACAATTTTTGGTGAGGCTACGAGGTCGCGAATGACGGCAGCACGGGAGGTAAGGAACGGAGAAAAACAAGAAAAGAAGGTAAGGAGAGGAGTAAAGAATAAGAGAGGAGACACCGCGACAGAGACGCTTGAAAAGTGAAAGCGCAGGCGGTGATGGAATGACGACGTAAGGAGGGAGGGTGAGGAGGCGTCCGCGAGTGCTTTACCCATAGAAATGACGGCTAACAAGAAGAAGTGGGTGAGCTCCAAAAGACACGCAGACGTTTCCGCTTGCCTGTGGGCGTGTTTCACCTGCAACTGATCGAACGCGTCATCCGCTGGCAACGGGGAGACGAACGGGGAAGACTCCGCCTCATGTGGTCCTGAGCGCAGCTTCCTTTTTCCCGTAAACGCAGGAAGACGGGTATTTCTCGCCACCCATGAAAAACGGAAGGAACTCTCACCAGTGTCCTTCGTCACTCGACCTTCCCCTTCCCCCCCCCCCCTTCCCTTCCTTCGGCTTCTGCAAACGGACGTATTTTTGGCATGTTTGTCTGTCTTCATTTCTACCCAATTACTCTCTTCACTACGTCGTGCGTCGTGCCGTACGTGGCAGAGACGCGTAAACACAGCGCTCCAGCAAGCGCACATCCAAAATGTAAATATATATATATATAACTATAAACTGAGAGCTGTCATCACGGACAGGCATCCATAACACCTCCTTTGCATTTTGGTTAATGGAAAGGGAAAAGAAGGTGCCATCGACATCCTCAAGAACGACCCGCAAGGACAGAAACTGCAGCACTCACTCACACACACACATACCCCGCAGATGAACGAACGCAGTTGCACCTGCTCCTATCACCGCTATATCGATATATATATAAAGCAAAGATAAACATATATATATATATATATAGAAACTGAGAACATAACTACACTGATGTTGCAAGGGAGCACGAGGGACATTTGAACTGAAAGGAGGCGCAAAATGAATAAATAAATAAAAAGTAGAGGAGGTCACTACAGAGCGGCACGATGGGGGAAATCCAACAATGAGGAGAGCATGCTAAGACGAAACACCGGCGGCACTGGAAACGAAAAGTGTGGGGTGTTGGGGGGAGAGGGGAATATATAACGTGGTAGCGCAAAGAAGAAGGGCAGTGATCCATCTGCAGAACCGCTACCGCGTCAAGCGCCGGCAGAGAAGGGAAAAGGCGTCCCTGCCGTGCTCACGAGTTGGGACCCCTCTGCCTCTCTCTCTCCCCCGGTTTTGCCTTCCCATTGCAATAAAACATTAAAACAAATCTACCTTATCTTGTCGTTTGCTTTCGCATCTCCCCACCTCCGCTTTACGCGAGGGCGACGAAGCCGCTGGTCTCCTCCAGCTTCTCCGCACGAGCGCGGCGGAACGCGCGCACCACGCGGCCGGCATTCACGTGATGCTGCCGGGCCTCACGCCACAGCGCACGCGCACGTAGACGACGCGCCTTGTCCAGGTACTCGCCTGTGCCGTAGGACGTATCGCTCTCCTGTGCCGTCGCCACCGTGATGTCGATCTTGGCGAGCATCGTCCTCGCGTCGCTGTCCAGCACCTGGGCATCGAAGGTCTTCTCATAAACGGCCTCCTTCACGGGTATGAGACGAGAGATGAAACCGGTGATCAGCACAATCACGGACACCATGAAGCAGGCAAACCACTCTTCCCCGCGCAGCGACGTGACGTTCATGAAGTCGCCGAAGGTCTCCACTGCCAGGATTTGGAAGCCGAAGCAGAAGACAAGAACCGCAATGAGAGGACGCGACCGACTCCACAGACCTTCGAACATGTTCAGCTCGTCGTACAGCTTTCGGCAGTTGAACATGTGAATCAGTGTCGATAGCACAAAGACGTTGAAGACGATGGTTTGGTGCTCCACGCCATCGAGCGGGCCGGCGCGGAACCACACGTTGCCGTACGCCTGCACCGCGAGCGTCAGCGCCAGCATGTACGCCGCAGCGGCACCAATCGTGACGTGCATGCGGCGCGAGATGAGCGGGGCCTTGCGGCTGACAGGACCACGACGCAGACAGTCCTCGCTCGGCTCCTCCGTGGCGAGGGCAAGGGCGGCAAGCGTGTCCATGATCAGGTTCACCCACAGCAGCTGCACCGTCGTCAGCGGCGAGGACGCGCCGCCCGTCATGACCGACCCGATGAAGGTCAGCGCCACAGACACGTAGTTCACCGTCAGCTGCAGCTGCAGGAACTTGCGGATGTTGTCGTTCACACACCGGCCCCACACAACGGCGCGCTGCACGGAGCGGAAGTTGTCGTCCAGCAGCACAATATCCGCGGACTTCACGGCGATATCCGTGCCGCTCCGCATCACAAAGCCCACATTCGCCAGCCGCAGCGCAGGTGCGTCGTTCGTGCCGTCGCCCGTCACCGCCACCACCTCGCCACGCACCATGAGCATCAGCACCAGCAATTGCTTGTCCAGCGGCTGCGAGCGAGCCATCACCGTCATGTGGTCCAGAACAGGCCAGAACTTCTCCATCCGCTCCTCGTCACCGTAGGCGTCGTACACAAGATTTCGGAAATCCTGACCGGTCATGGCGAGGTCGCCGCGTGAACGATTAAAAATACCGCATTCACGAGAAATGGCAAGGGCGGTATCGAGGTTGTCGCCGGTGCACATCCGCACCGTCACGCCGGCCATCTGGCACTTCTGCACCGCCTCCGCCACCTCCGGACGCAGCGGGTCGTGAATGCCGATCAGACACAGCCACACCAGCTTCTCCGTCGGCTCGTCCTCCGGGAGCTCCTTCCCGCTCAGGGTGGTGTACGCAACACCGATGGTGCGGTTAGCGTCGGTGGCAAACGTGCGGAGTTGCGCCGTAATCAAGTTACGCACGTCATCCGTCATGGGGACCTCCTCGCCCGCCTCGTTCACGTAACGGTCGCACAGCGGCAGCACGCGATCGGAGCCGCCCTTCACGTGGTGCAGCAGCGTCCCGTCCTCCTGGCGCACCACGGCGCTCATCCGCTTCCGATCGCTCGTGAAGGGGAACAGCATGAACCCGCGCTTGTGGCACGCCGCACGCATCCGCTGGTGCGGCCGCTCCTTCATGTTGTTCACGTCCGCGTCCGCCAGCATCGCGCGGTCCACAAAGTCCAGCAGCGCGTTGTCCGTCTTGTTGCCCTTGTCCGTCATCCACTGCCAGTACGGCGCAACCGCGTGCCCCTCCTTGTCCGTCGTGCTCACAACCTTCTCGCTCGAGCTGTTGATCGCAAGGCTCTCCACCAGCATCTCCCGGATGCGGGGGTTGACATCATGAAGACACGTTATGGGTTGGGGAATGTCACCTGGTTGCGCAACACGAAAGCGCTGCATGCCCACGTAGCCCTGCACCACGCTCATCCGGTTCTGCGTCAGCGTGCCCGTCTTGTCGCTGCAGATCTGTGTCGCGTTGCCCATCGTCTCGCACGCGCGCAGGCGGCGCACCTGGTTGTTGTCGTCGTGCATCTTGTTCTGCGAGTAGGCCAGCGCAATCGTGACGGCCAGCGGCAGCCCTTCCGGCACGGCCACCACCACGACCGTGACACAGAGAATGAAGTAGTCGAGGAAGTGCTTATAGCTGGCGTTGGGGCGGTGGCGGACGAGGTCGGCAATTTCAATGCACGCGAGAATCACGAAGAGCACCGCCGCGGCACTGATGCCGATGCGGCCGATCTTCTCCGCCAAATCGTCCAGGCGCTCCTGCAGAGGCGTCGGACGTGGCGCACCCGCACCGCGCGACTCCATCAGCAGCTTGCCACCGAAGGAGCGCTCGCCCACCGCACACGCCAGCATGTACGCGTCCTCCGCCGTGTTCACAACAGTGCCCGTCAGGATGATCGGCGCCTCCGCGTTCTTCTTCTTCGGGTCGTTCTCGCCCGTCACGCTGCTCTCGTCGATCACAACGCTCATGCCGCGCACGAAGAACCCGTCCACGGGCACCACAAGACCGGGCGACAGGTTCACAACGTCGCCCACAACGATCTCCGTCACGTCGACCGTCACCTCCGCACCGTCGCGGCGCACGCGGATCGGCTGCGCGGAGTTCTCCTCCGTCAGCTTGTGGAACTTCTGCTCCTTGCGGTAGTCGTTCACCGACGACACAGACGTCACGATGAAGACGGAGCACAGGATGGCGAAGCCTTCGATCCACCCAGTCTTGTAGTTCGCCCGCGTCTCCCCAGGCTCCGGCACCGTCAGCCCCAGCACGAGGGACACCAACGCCGCAGCGGCCAGCAGGCGGATCATGCTGTCTTCCCACGCACCCTTGTAAATCTCCCAGAAGGTCAGCGGGGGGTCCTCCGGCAGCGCGTTCTTGCCGAAGAAGCGACGGCGCTCCGCGGCGCTGTGGGCATCGATGCCGTCCCTCAGAGAGGTGTGGAGGGACTTGGCGATGCCCTCCACCTTACCGAGCTCTTCGTAGGACGGCATGCCCTCACTGGCACGACCGAAGATTTCCTCCAATTTACTTTGAATGCCAGTTCCGTACTCCTCTCCACCAACTGTCACGCAACAGGGACGCTGGCTGGTGCGCCGACGGACCGAGGAGGCGAGGTCCTCCTTCCGCTGTCGGTCGAACGCGTTTACATCCGCGACGGAGGTTCCGTAGGAGCGGAAGCTGCTGCTTTTGCTGCCCAGCAGCGCTGCATTGTCCGCAAAAGAGTCCTCCACCGACATCGAGTGCATCAGACGGAAAGGAGAGAGAAGGGGGAGGAGGAATGATCAAGAAAAAGAGAAAAGAAAAAAAAGGTTTTTGTTGCTGTGAACTGAGTCGGTGCTGGTGTTTTGGTTTTGGGTTTTCTCCAACAGTGATGTGACTCCACAGTCTACGGTGCGAGGTACGACGAGCGACACGCCGGCGGTGTCCACAACCCCGAATACGCACGCGAGTGTCTCTTGGCGCCCCTGCTTTTTTCTTCCTTCGAAAAACAATAAGGCGAAGCGAGCTTGAAGACGATGAACAAGAAGGACACTGCAGTTAAAGAAGAAACGAAGAAGGCAGGACAGATTCTACGGAGTATATATATTGCGGTAAGAGGCACTTTTATCTTTGGTTCCTTTCGAACCTCAATGCCCGCTTAACTGACTTTGGTGATGACACTTCAGTGTGCGTGTGCGCACGGACGGACGTCTTCATGAGAATACGATGTACGATACCTGGTGGCGCTGCAGGGGGGAAAGGAAGATCGCGTACCACGTACGTCCACAATTGGCACGAAGAGAGCGAAGAAGCAAGCAAAGAAAAGAGCGGAGCGGGGGGGGGGTAATCGGAGCAAACAAAAAGATGGTCGCGTATTTTCATACATTGCGTCACAACGAGCAGAAGAGAAGAAAACAAAGGAAGCGCATGATCTACGCTAACCGACCAATGTCGCATCGCCCTTTGTCTCCTCCAACGAACGAGAGTACGCCGTCACCGCAGGTGAAGGCAGGGGAGCGTGCGGAACGCTGCACGCCGCACTTGGTGAAGGAGGGAGGAAGGGGGGGAGGGGAGGCAGCCGCGACTGTCGCAGCACAGAGAAGTATGAACCACGTCAGCTGGAACGGTGATGCCACAAAGCGGTCAGGCGCGAAGAGAGGAACGGGGGCGGAGCGAGGGTCAGACGGCGTTGGAGACGGCCACCGCCGCCGCAGCCTCCACCAATTCTTCCCCTGTGCGTTCCCCCTCGCCGCCCTCGTCAAACACCATGCATGAAGTTTCCTTCAGCGGCATCACTATCATTATTATTATTATTATCTGCTGATGCTATTCTTTACTGAGATCTTATTTATTGTCTTCTTCACAGACACGAAGAAATCAAAACAAATCAGAAACAATCACACAGAGGGAGTCAAGACCACGCGGAGGAAGACACCGCAGAGGAAACGCCAACGAAACAGAACTTCGTGAGGCACACACGCAGGGGGGGGG